GGCTCAGATACTCAGAGGTATTTACGTGCCTAATGCCTGTTGAAATAAATGGGAGTTAGGTGTTCAAATGTGTATAAGAATCTGGGCCTGAGAGTCTTTCTCCAATGGGCTTTGGATCCAGCCCTGCAAAAATGTGCTGCTTTCCTGGCCCCATCTATTGACCTTTGCACCCAATCCTAAAACAAATCCCTATTTGTTTTGCTTCCACCTCTCCTTCCCAAAGCTGTTAGCCTTATGAGAGATTTGGATAATTCAAAACCCTTACTAACATATTTCAAGGTTCAAAGCTAGTTTTATTCAAGCCAGAGACAAATGGCTTTAAATAAAAAAGGACTTGAGGCATGTTAAAAAGCCTGAAGAGCAGAGATCTGTGAAAGGGAAAGGAAAAATATAAATACTTTAAAAATGGGCTTAGATGTCAATTATAGGTGTTCCATGAAGTCATGAAATTTCAGCTCTGTAGTAGAACTTGGGAGGAAATGCTCCTGCATTGTATTTCTGCTGCTTTCTAATTCATATCAGTGTCAGATAAGTATTGAAGTTTAAAGGAGTAACAGGGGGATGTAATCTGAGATTCCTAATTAGTAATCTGAGCTCCTGCAAAGTTTGTTTCTGTAATAAATTGCAGATTGACAGTAATAAATTGTAAAATCTTAGCCTGGAATGTAGAGGTGGAGGGCCATGCATCCCAGATTGCAAGGTTTGATGTAAACTGCAGTCAGCCATATAACTGTTAGTGAGAAGGGAATGAGAAGAATTATAGTGGTTGTTTTATTAATATTTGTCAATGCTTCTTGTAATTACAAATAAGCAGTTAATTTCTAGGCAGGAATTGTGGTATTGCTATTTAAACCTTAACACAAGGTTGTCTAACTGAATGAAATACAGGCAGTCCCCAACTTACGACAACCGGGGCTGCCCCGGAGTACACGGACTGGGGGACCTCTCGGTCCCGCCGCCCGTTTACTCCGGGCAAGAAAAGCTGCTCCGCGTCTCCCTGGTCTTACATACAGATTCAACTTAAGAACAAACCTACAGTCCCTATCTTGTACGTAACCCGGGGACTGCCTGTAGTTTGATAGATCTTGGTTAACATTTTTAACAAATCTGTTAATGAACTCTCCAGCAAAATAAAATAGAACAGTCAAGTTAATGAATTACTGCAGAAGGATGGTTTATTCCAGAGTAAGGAGGAAAGAGGGAGAATTCATTGTGTGATTATGAGCAGGGCCGTACCCATGACCTGTTCTGTAACCAGAGAAAGAGCTGGATAGTCTGTGCTGTGGGCCAAAGGACTAGCTTGAGCTTGGAGGTAAGAAGGATTTAAGTCCCTCCCTTTCTGGGATAGAGGGTACTGGGCTCTAATGAAGTGTTACGGATGGGAGGAAGTGTAGGCTGAAGTATGTATGACTGGTAGCAGCTAAAAAGCAACAACAGTCAGGCCCATGACTGAGTTATATTTAGATTTTGAGTGTGCATGCTGTTAAAAACAGAGGACAATGATACCTACCTGAGTCCTGCATGGAGCTGCTGAAAATCCGTTCTATTAAGTAAATAAGAGCTGAAATGCTAAATCATTGAATGGGAGTGACTTCTTATTTAGGCTAATGAGTGGATGTTTAGTTTGTACCATTATTACTTGGTCTGTGTTGTTTTGAGTCTGTATCCTACATTTAAGAGCTGCCAAAATTTACTCAGGTGTGCTGAAAGAAGTGCAAGGGGTAGTGAGAGAGTGAGAACTTTCCTACGCTGCATAGGAAAGATAGAAAGTGTGGCAAAAGACTGCCTTGGCTTAACCAAGAGATCTCGCATGATCTCAAAATAAAAAAGGAGTCATATAAAAAGTGGAAACTAGGACAGATTACAAAGGATGAATATAAGCAAACAATGCAGGTATGCAGGGGCAAGATTAGAAAGGCAAACGCACAAAACAAACTCAAACTAGCTAGAGACATAAAGGGTAACAAGAAGACATTTAATAAATATATTAGAAGCAAGAGGAAGACCAAGAACAGGGTAGGCCCACTGCTCAGTGAGGAGGGAGAAATAATAAAAGGAAGCTTGGAAATGGCAGAGGTGCTTAATGACGTCTTTGTTTCCGTCTTCACCAAGAAGTCTAATGATGAAGGAATGCCTAACATAGTGAATGCTAGGGGGAAGGGGGTAGGTTTTGAAGATAAAATAAAAAACAAACAAGTTAAGAATTACTTAGAAAAGTTAGATGTCTGGAAGTCACCAGGACCTGATTAAATGCATCCTAGTCTATTCAAGGTATGTGAGCCTTTAGCTATCATATTTGAAAAATCATGGAAGACAGGAGAGCGTCCAGAAGACTGGAAAAGGGCAAATATAGTGCTCAGCTATAACAAGGGAAATAAGAACAACCAAGGAAACTATATACCAGGTTAACTTCGGTGCCAGGAAGATAATGGAGCAAGTAATTAAGGAATTCATCTGCAAACCTCTGGGATACAATAAAGTGATATGTAACAGCCATCATGGGTTTATAAAGAACAAATCATGTCAAACTATTCTGATAGATTTTTTTGATAGGATATCAAGCTTCGAGGATAAGGGAGAAGCAGAGGATGAAGTATACCTAGACTTTAGTAAGGCATTTGATGCAGTCTTGCATGATCTTCTTATCAATAAATTAGGCAAATACAACTTAAATACAACTGTTTAATATTTTCATCAATGATTTAGATGATGGCATAGAGAGGACGCTTATTAAGTTTGCAGATGATACCAAGCTGGGAAGGAATGCAACTGCATTGGAGGATAGAGTCATAATTCAAAATGATCTAGATAAACTGGAGAAATGATCTGAGGTAAATAGGATGAAGTTTAATAAAGATAAATACAAAGTACTCCACTTAGGAAGGAACAATCAGTTTCACACATACAGAATGGGAAGCGATTGTCTAGGAAGGAGTCCTGCAGAAAGGGATCTATGGGTCATAGTGGACCGCAAGTTAATAAATATGTGTTAACGGTGTGACACTTGCAAAAAAAAGTAAACATGATTCTAGGATGCATTAACTGGAGTGTTGTAAGCAAGATAAGAGAAGTTATTCTTCTGCTCTACTCTGTGTGATTAGGCCTCAATCGTATGTGGAGAAATTGGAGAAGGTGCAGAGAAGAGCAATGAGAAACAACCGGGGCTGCCCCGGAGTACACGGACTGGGGGACCTCTCGGTCCCGCCGCCCGTTTACTCCGGGCAAGAAAAGCTGCTCCGCGTCTCCCTGGTCTTACATACAGATTCAACTTAAGAACAAACCTACAGTCCCTATCTTGTACGTAACCCGGGGACTGCCTGTAGTTTGATAGATCTTGGTTAACATTTTTAACAAATCTGTTAATGAACTCTCCAGCAAAATAAAATAGAACAGTCAAGTTAATGAATTACTGCAGAAGGATGGTTTATTCCAGAGTAAGGAGGAAAGAGGGAGAATTCATTGTGTGATTATGAGCAGGGCCGTACCCATGACCTGTTCTGTAACCAGAGAAAGAGCTGGATAGTCTGTGCTGTGGGCCAAAGGACTAGCTTGAGCTTGGAGGTAAGAAGGATTTAAGTCCCTCCCTTTCTGGGATAGAGGGTACTGGGCTCTAATGAAGTGTTACGGATGGGAGGAAGTGTAGGCTGAAGTATGTATGACTGGTAGCAGCTAAAAAGCAACAACAGTCAGGCCCATGACTGAGTTATATTTAGATTTTGAGTGTGCATGCTGTTAAAAACAGAGGACAATGATACCTACCTGAGTCCTGCATGGAGCTGCTGAAAATCCGTTCTATTAAGTAAATAAGAGCTGAAATGCTAAATCATTGAATGGGAGTGACTTCTTATTTAGGCTAATGAGTGGATGTTTAGTTTGTACCATTATTACTTGGTCTGTGTTGTTTTGAGTCTGTATCCTACATTTAAGAGCTGCCAAAATTTACTCAGGTGTGCTGAAAGAAGTGCAAGGGGTAGTGAGAGAGTGAGAACTTTCCTACGCTGCATAGGAAAGATAGAAAGTGTGGCAAAAGACTGCCTTGGCTTAACCAAGAGATCTCGCATGATCTCAAAATAAAAAAGGAGTCATATAAAAAGTGGAAACTAGGACAGATTACAAAGGATGAATATAAGCAAACAATGCAGGTATGCAGGGGCAAGATTAGAAAGGCAAACGCACAAAACAAACTCAAACTAGCTAGAGACATAAAGGGTAACAAGAAGACATTTAATAAATATATTAGAAGCAAGAGGAAGACCAAGAACAGGGTAGGCCCACTGCTCAGTGAGGAGGGAGAAATAATAAAAGGAAGCTTGGAAATGGCAGAGGTGCTTAATGACGTCTTTGTTTCCGTCTTCACCAAGAAGTCTAATGATGAAGGAATGCCTAACATAGTGAATGCTAGGGGGAAGGGGGTAGGTTTTGAAGATAAAATAAAAAACAAACAAGTTAAGAATTACTTAGAAAAGTTAGATGTCTGGAAGTCACCAGGACCTGATTAAATGCATCCTAGTCTATTCAAGGTATGTGAGCCTTTAGCTATCATATTTGAAAAATCATGGAAGACAGGAGAGCGTCCAGAAGACTGGAAAAGGGCAAATATAGTGCTCAGCTATAACAAGGGAAATAAGAACAACCAAGGAAACTATATACCAGGTTAACTTCGGTGCCAGGAAGATAATGGAGCAAGTAATTAAGGAATTCATCTGCAAACCTCTGG